GATTCGGCGAGAAATGCTTTTCAGTTTAGAGTGAAATTATTTCATAAAGTTCTATTCAGTTGTCGCATCGTGTGAGGTAATTCAGTTCAATATTTTGTTTGATTACTTATTCACTCTCATTTTCAAAAGTCAATCATGACAGAGAGGCTAAATAGGAATTATGGGATATGAGTTGATTATTAACTGTCCCGTTGTCATAAATAGGTTCTATTTATGATCCGTAACATTTTAGTTTTGCAAAGCAGCTGAATTTGATAAGGAGAAATAGAAGCTTGAATATAATTCTGGTAAGATATTATAGTTTTCAATATTTGTTTAGCGTGTGTAGTGTAATTGTGGAAGAATGGATTTTTGCATTTATTGATTTTATCGCATTTTATTTCAACGCTATGTTCTATTTAACTAATAGAAAGTGATGTCATAATTAATACGTTTCCAAAGTAGATTTAACTGTAATCACACGAAAAACATTGAGAAAACATATAATATATAAATGCAGAGTAAACATAATATGATTTTTCGTTATGGTTTGCGTGCAAACAATAAGTTAATGGTTCACTCACGCTCAGTGTAAATGAAAAGCAAACTAAAAGCCTAGTATCAATGTATCGAAGTTCATTCTCCAGTACGGCACTGATATAAGTATTACAATATCAAGGCCGAATAACTTATATCAGTTGAACGCCACTATTTTGTTTAATGATGCATGTGCAAGCAGCGAATGCAATGTGCCGTTGCGCACCGAAAATTTCATTGGCTTTCTGTTTCTAGTTGAGAAAATGTGAAAAAGACTCAGTTAAACAGCGGATTTCCACTGTGGTCAAATAAATTCTCGAGAAACTGTTGAATACTAAAAATGAAGTATTTAATTATTCTCGGATAATTAATTAATTTCAGACGTGGTCCTGACAACAAAGATGGGCGAGTCATTTTCTCGAGTAACTTAAAGAATCTTCTAGAATTGTTCGTTTGATTCAGATTTGTTCGAACTCAAAACAAAACAATATATAGCGATAAATTTTGTTACCTTAATACACTTGACCTCGATATTTAAACGCACTTGAATGTCAAAGTTCTGACATTCGAATCAACTGCTTTCAAGTAGCGAGATTGAGTGTATTAAAGTAACACAATTTATCGCTATATATTGTTTTGTTTTGAGTCCGAACAAATTTGAATCAAGCGAACAATTCTGCAAGATTCTTTAAATGACTGGTCCAATCTGTCTAACACTATTGTACTCTCCTCATGATTTTGGATACTATTCTATTGCCGTATCATATATATAGGCTGTGTCATCTTATACTGAAAACTGAACTATACATTTGATTTTCTGAGTCATCATGACCAAAACCAATAATTTGAATGAACTTTGATTTAAAAGATCTTTATTAAAAGTAGAAAATAAATGTATAAAATGGAATAATAGTGCGGTTAAAAGTTAAAAATACACATTAGTACACAAGGATAGATGACGCTCTTTTATGAAAACAGAATTTTTTCTTCTAAAAAACATACAAAAATGAATTTATTTGGAAAAAATAGAAAGGAAAACCAATATTTTCAATTAAAGAATTGATTTAAAATGAAAAACTCATTTATTTTGATTCCTTTATATTAACTCCCTTGTTTACTCGTTTCTTCGTTTCTCCATTTAGGTGCCTGGTTCGTACAACATGAGAATGGTTCTATCTGTACAGTTGACGTTCGTGATGATTATTCAAATTTTCCTGGTTCATGTGAATGGGTTAACAGTCCATCGAAAAAAGAAGACTGTGTTCACATTATGACAGTTCAAAGATTTATACGACAAACACCTCGGCCACCAAAATGAAATTTAACAAAATTAAGAAAAGCTGAGCGTGTAAACGATTCTTAACATTGTGAAATGTAAAAGAGAAGAAACAAACAACTTACATGCAGTGAGAAAGGAAGAAGAGAAGAAGAAACCGTAAAATCGAGCGTAAGTTTAGTCGAGCATTTCGAACCCAAAGATGGAATACAGACAGACGAAGATTTGCTCTCCATTTATCTACTCTAAAGATATCTAAAAATGCAGTAATAGTTCAAGATGATACGTGAAGTAAAAAAGACGAAGATCTGCACAAATTCTAAATCTCTCACTTCACTACACACTATGCTATGCTCCTGGCAACAATGCTATGCTCCTTTTTACCTAATTATAATGATAAAAACGTATATAGATATGCGTTTTTTCCGATAAAATATGAATCATTTATGATGCACTAATCAGCATTAGTCCAGTAAGTTCAGTTTTCCGTGAAAAAAACAACCATTATATAATAGGAATCTGGCAAATAAGGAGATGTCTCTTTTCACATAAGATATTCCATGTTTCGTCTCAGAGCGTCAAGAGAGAAGAAAGAGAACAGAGAGATATGCACCCCTTATTTATGCTAGTTCTCTAATATACTGGCCCGAAACGTTACAGTAAATATGCAGTAATTACAAGAAGATTGTATATGATTTCTAACCGACGTTTCGGATCTAGATAAATCTGTTATCAAAAAACAGGTAAGAGCAAAATACAAAGAGAACATATTCTATATATCGTAACTAGACAAAGACTCTATTAGCCGATCAAGATATTCCATAACTCAAATTTTCAGAATTACTATGTATCTTAAAATATAAGACCTATGGATGTTTTTTGAGTAATTTTTGACAGGAATGAGGTGTAGACTGGTAGTTTTTATCGTCCGAAAGAGGGACATGTTTCCATAAGAAAAAATATTTTTAGAAGGGTTTCTTAAAATAGGTTTCTAGGAATTGAATTTAATTACTTAATTTAATCCTATTAGAAGTTTCCGATAAACGGTTTTCCAAAGAACTCCTAGAAACCTATTTTAAAAAACTCTTCTAAAAATATTTCTGCTTATGATAGCATGTTTCCTAATAATTAATGTTCCTAAGTCTCCTTTGTCGAACGATAAAAATCGCAAGTCTCTGTTTCATTCCTGTCACACGTTACGCGAAAAACATCCATAGGTGTTATGTTTTGAAATACAGAGTAGAGTCCCTAAGTAATGCTTGATTGTAGAAATTTTAGTTGTAGTGTATTTCTGTCACAAAGATCCATATGTACAATGTCTGTGTGTAAGTGTTTATTATAAAGAGTGTGCGCGTGACTATGTATGTATCAGGCGTGACCTAACACGAAACACAAGCCACTTATTTTCGAGAATAAAAATTGATATTACATGCTTATGATCATCTGGCCCATGGATTTGCCATCTTTGCTCTTATGTAAAACTATCCATTTGTTCTAAGATTGTAAACGGAATCAGTTTTTACTAAAATTTGGTCGGACAACGATACAGTAGCGATTCATTATAGTGGTGTGGCTTTATCAGATACAATCGTACAATAAACTAACATTTCAATTCACAAATATGTTTATTTTATCTCATTATAACACTGAATAACGAGATTATTCCTGACATATTCATTCTATCTCACAAAGAATAAATATTCCAAAATTTATTAAAATACTGATAAAAAATAGTCGGCTATATACATACAATAAAAAAAGTAACGTTTTATATCGCATAAAAGTAGTTCAACATTCATTTAGGGATTGTTAGCCGATTTACTCGTGTCTACATGTCACCGATCGTTCTCGTCATTCAGAGGAACCAAAAGCGGTCGTTGGTCTTTAATTCATCTTGTTTCATATTTCCGATATCTAGCTAACTAGTTAATTTTTTTGAGAAACTAGCAAACTTAGTAACAGCAAAACAAGTAGCACAAAGTGATTGAACAACAATAAGATCTATCATCGAAACAGCTCGATAGCACGAACACCAGCTAGATTATCTGATTTTGGTTTAACTGACGACGTCCTTACATAAAAAAAAGAAATTAATTACTTAAAATTTAACTGAAAAGAAAAGCATAGAACGAACATCAACAAGCATAAAGAAAATAATACAAAACAAGAAAAATTTGAAACTCAGTGTCTTTTTTATTTCTGCTAACTTTCGGAGTTTTCCTCGATTGACTTTTTAATAGTATCGATGAATTTATGACGTTCAACAACTTCACCGGCTTCCACCGTATCGCTGCCGAGTTTTGCTAAACTATGACCTAGATATTCTACCACGTCAGCAACATTTTTCTTGAAACCTGCAATACAGAGAAGAAATACAATAAATTATAACATCTTTCTGGGTAGGTTTATACCTACGCACCGGATGCTGTATCATGAAAGGCATTTCTAACTTCAGCCACTGTTTCGTTCGATGTATCTTTCAGTGCGGTACCTAAAAAAAGTACTCACAACTTAATTAAAACGTGTCCTGCAGAAATCATTATTTTTCCTCATATACCTGCATCGTGTACTTTAACACCCGCTTTTTCTAATTTTTCACCAACAAGTTCATTTGTTTTTGTATAGGCGCCACCTAACAAATCACCAGCTTTATGTAGGCCGGTTCGAAAAGCACTACCAACTGTTCTGCCAACTAATGTTACTTCTCGTCCAAGCCAACGAAGAAAATTACCCATTTTATCAGCCGTTGTACCATAACCATACTGTAATTTACTGTAAATATTCGAGACACCATCAGCCACGGGACCATCATACGATTTAACAGCTTTTTCAGCTGCTTTATTTTTACCATTTTCAATCCTGTGACCGAGATTTTCCATTTCTAGAAAGGAAAAAATAAGTTGAAACAATCTTTAAATATTTCAGTGCCAATAAGGATTGAACTTAACTTTATATAGATTATCTTATAAGTCGAAAATAGCGAACTACTACCAAAATATTGAAATACTCTGTCACCATTGATTGCATACTATAAGTCCTAGTAATATAGTTTGTTGATAATCATAAAAGAGAGATGAAAATGCAAGTTTTCAAATTATCACCATTTTAGAATGATGTTTTGTCTGTAGTTTCCTCTGCAGAATGCGTAAACAAAATATCGATTGCACAACTGAAATTCTACAGTTTCGCCTTTTCCTCGGTGTGTTTTCTACGTATTATTACACGGTAAAACTCAATGAGTAAACTAACTCAGAATAGAGGGAACGACTAGGATTTTTGTCTAAACGTTGGAAACAGATCCTTGTTTTTGTTCTATGTGTAGTAAAACGTTCATAGCTTTCAGTTGAATGATTATTTTATTTTTTCGAATCAAGTATTGATACCTTTGCCAACCGTTTTATAGACTTGCCCAATTTTTGTTTCAATTTTTTCGCCAACTTTGATTGCTGTTTCTTTCACAGAGTTTCCCGCTGCAACAGCATGATCTATGACTTTATGTCCAACGACATAGACATCTTCTTTGAATTTGTGATCAGCCTTTTTTACTGTTTCTCTAATTTCATGTCTGATCTGTTTGTATTGTGTCACATTTTCGTTTCGTTTTATTCGATTGTGATCATAGTGTACAGCAGCATGATTCAAATTCACAATCGAAGTAGTTATAAATAAACAAAATAGTAATTTTTTAAATAAGTTTTTCATTTTTCATATTAGTCTTGTTGAAATGATCATAATTACTAATGAACTAAAAGAAAGAGTCAACACAAATCAAGCGGTTGAGTCTGACATTTATGAAAAAGATGATTTTGAGTCAATAATAAGAAAATATAAGAATTATTTAAAGATTCAAATACAAATAAAAGGCACGATGCTCGTATGACTTTTTGTTTTAAAAAAATATTTTGGCGCGTGGTGAAGAAAATATCATCTGATGTTTATCTCTTTTCGGTCCAGAATACTCTGGATCTTGTAAAATGCCGTTTAATTCGGTCCCTAAATTGTATGCATTAGTATGTGTCTTTTTTCTAGTTTAAAACTCTCCATATGATTATGCTTCAAGGTGCTTCTCTCATTAACTAGAAGGAAAAAGAGATGAAAATATGTTGTTTTGAAAAAAACAGTTTTCCATTTTTCAGTGCTGTGTCTTGTATAAATCTGAAAAGATCAAGTTTAAAGAGATGCGTCTAGCAAGTGGTGACAGCGTTTTCCAGTTTGCACCTAAAATCACAGAAAAAACGAGTATTTTCCATCCCAAAAACGTCTTCCAAAACTAACGTTTCAGTATAATATATTTTGCACTTTTCATCAATTTTACATAAATCTTCTTCTATTTATCACATCAATATTGAGGCTGGGCGAGTTTCATTCCGGACCGGAGACATTTTCTAATGAATCGCATTTGGGTTTTATATACATCGAGTCCAATCGATTCAAGTTTTAAGGTAAACGAGCAACAGAAAATTTTAATTTTGAATGGACTTCAGATTTGATTATAAGTGTTCAGGACTTAGACTCGGATTGAGTTTTTAATAAAAACAAACGGCATATTCAGAATCAGCACATGAAACTGCATCGAACTATACAAGAAACAATAACTTTTGTATGAAAAACTCTTAATAAAAAATGTTCACCCTGGTTCTTACGGTGATTTTTTGACAGCATTTATTTTATTTGTACGATTTTTGCGTTAACTAGAGAACAATAATAATTTATGAGAAAAGATTTATTGGCAAATTGTTCACTGTGGAGTCGTGAAACACTGAAATTAACCTCAGAAAATATCTATCATTCGTTCGCTGAATTATTCATGCGTCTGTAGGTTTGCTGATACTTGTAACCTTTTTCTCGTGCAGTTTTTTTACCTTTTAGTAATATACATCTATATACATCAGGATACTTGCAAAAAACCACAAAATTATTAATGAATTCAACTTTTTTTAATCGAAAAAACAATCTTAAAGCATTTTCATTTAATAACCAATTTATTGAACGCTGATTAGTCAACAGTACCTTTCTCAGCTACAATAAAAAATATTCGAATCTATTTTATATAGTATATATACAGATCTCTAGCGCTATCTAGCGTTCACCATTCAATCAAAAAGTTTCTTTGTTTTTCAGAAAAGATTGAACAAAATTATTCAATAAAACTAAACACTGTTGGAGAGAAAAAAGAACTAAAGAAGAAGAAATACTATGGACTACAACTATTTCCACTGATTATATAACACGAACTAACAATAAATTCATCTTCTAAGAATTTTCATCTTGTTCTCTGTTATTTGATATTCCATTTCTAATAATTTTTCTTGTTTCTGTATTGACTTTTCTTGTTTGTAATGAATTTGAACTACCAAGTGGACGTTTTAACTCTCTTTTTGAGGAATAAATCGACAACGTATCATCGTAATTAGTATTCGTACGAGTTTTATAGGATGATAAAGGCGAGTGAGAAACATTCATTGATGTTGTATGATAGATTGGTAATCGAGTAGATGTTGTCGTCATCAATCCACTGTACTTCTTTTTAATATTTTCCACTATTGAATTATCTGATTTTTTACTATCACTGTCATTTTTGTCATTTGGATTTGTTAACACTAATAAGCGATCGTCATTTCCATTTGAATATGTATGAGTATCATCATATTTCTGAGTATGAGCCAATAATTTTAACGTTTTTATTGCAGAAATAATTTCCTCAATTTTCGATACTTCTAAAAAATATTTACATGTTAGAACATCAACTTACCAAAAATCAATTTATACCTAATTGATTTGCAACTTGTTCAATAAATTTGTGATAATACGGAACAAAATCATCATACGCACGAATTTTCGTTATTGCCCTATAAAATAGAAAGTTCACACTATTATATTCTTTATAATGATGATATATCACTTACTCGCTCATATCATTTATTTTTGTTAATTTTTTAAATGTATAAAATTCATTTGATTTACAATCATCTAAATTTGTCTGTAGAACTTTTATTAATTTGGGACAACTCGTCTTGTATGTATCTAAAATATTCTGTGTAAAAAAACTCGGTCTTGTTTATGCTCTCTATTTTTCTTACCTACACCTAATGCACTTGCAACTGACTTTTTAAAATTACTCAATTCTCCTTGTTTATAATACAATTCATTGAGTGTCGTAGGTATTTGTGTGAAACATTTTGAATCAAATAATGACTGACATTGCTCAATTATACCCAAGCAAAATTGATAACTTGGATGATGATCTTTGTAAATCTTGAAAAATAAACCAAAAATACTTTAAATTATTCATGAGTGAGTGAATCATTTCCATTCATCAACTGCTAGTTAAAGGAATAATTTTTTGTTTGAACGAGATTTTAGGATTTGTGTAAAAATGTGAAAATTTTAACGTGCCCTGCTTTGAGACATCACCGTCAAATACAAGTGTAAAAAATCATAAGATCGCGATCTCATGATTTTTTACAGACTTTCATAGCGCTTTTTGGCCGTTTTATGGTGTAAAAACTTCGATCTGACAAAAGATTTGCTGGTCATCGAGAAAGAAATACCTAGCGGTAAACCAGAACAATTATGAGGTTTATTTTCTGTTTTCTACAACTTCGAGTGTTATGTTACTAAAAACGATGCAAGGGAACTGAAATTGTTGAAGAAATTGCATAGAAACTGACACAAAAAAAAGATCGACTACCTTTATCCCTATATAATTTCCGTTTTAGATGTTGTTTAAAATCACTAGATTTTAGTATTCATTTGTTTCTCTGTTATTATTTCACATTTAGTTCATACGGTTTGGGAGAAAACATCCTTTTTTCAGCGAAACAAGAACCTGATACAGACGCTCGATGCGTGATAAGTCGGGTTCTGATTTGAAATGATGTGTCAGACTGATTTTCAGGCTGAAAAACTCATTCCTCGTTTTTTAGTTCAAATCCTCTTTAAAAAAAATTTCTAATCCTCTTTCATTCCTCTTTTTTCACGAAATTGCAAACAGAGCCCAGATGAGCACTCACATGTTAGTACAACCTTCATACAAATGGGTCATCATAACTCGTAGTTTCCTTTTGCACAGTTTAATACAATGGGAAAATACGTAGTTGGAGAAGTGCAACGTTTGAAGGTCGGAAGATTGAATCCAGAAGAGAACTTCAAAAATTGTTCTAATACCATTTCTGGCACGATTCCTAAGCTTCTGATATTGTTACTAGTAACAAGCCTAGTAATAGGTGTCACTTCCTCCTATAAGTTTCAATGACTTGTATATCGCATGAAGAAAAACATTTCAGCTTTTGCTGCAAAAAACAGTGTGATATATGGAGTCGTAGCGATGATGAAACAAAAGAGTGAATAACGTGTTTACATAACTGTTAAAACCGGCGACCGTTAACTGAGCGTGTTTCTGTCTTCAGTTAACAGTGTAAAAAACGATCAAGAAACCAGAACTGGACAAGTCACGGGTTTTCCAAGTCATAAGTCAAGTCACCAAAAATCTTCTCAAGTCAAGTCGAGTCAAGTCATGAGTAATAAAAAGATTTCTCCGGTCAAGTCAAAAGTCATAACTTGACATTTTTTTCCGTAGAAAAATTTCCAAAGTGGAGCTGGGCAGGTTACAGTTTTTCTCTAAGCTTCGATTTTTTCTTTAGATACGATGTTTCTTTTTCGTATTTCAAAAGATAATCATAAAAAAGACAATGTATTGATGATGCCTAACATAGTTTCATATTATTCATATTATAACAGATTTGGACTCAACTGAGATACAATCCATATTGTAATCACGTACCTCAGTTGAGAAACCATTATTTCTGCGAAAATATTCGTTTTTCAACTGAGATACAATTTTGACACGTGCAATTGTGCAGTGTACAAAGGTCTATTATTCAATAGTGAATGAAATAAAATTAGGTATATGATGTATCTCTACAGACTATCTAAGTGTGCAAAATGGCGTGAAAGTCGCTGTAATTCTTGTAGATTTTGTAGAACTATTGAATAATAGACCTTTGTACACTGCACTCTTGCACAATAGCACGTTTCAACGCATGTGTCTCAGTTGAGAAACGAATATTTTTGCAGAAATAATGATTTCTCCACTAAGATACTTGATTAAAATATGGATTGTACCTCAGTTGAGACGTTACGTTATAACATCAACATTCCCAAAACATTATGAATTATTATTTAAAATTAGATTTCATAAGAGGTTTAAAAATATGCGTGACTTCACTTGATTTTCTATACCGAGTCACAAGTCAAGTTTTTTAAAAAAATTTTCAAGTCAGGTCAAGTCAAGAGTCATAAAAAATTTCTCACGTCAAGTCACAAGTCAAAAATGATTTGACTTGCCCAGCTCTGCAAGAAACGGCTCGTTAATGGTGATAGAAATAAAAATCGAGATCCTGTTCCGTTAACTGATAGTTTTTAGGCCGTTAATTAACGTTCAAACGATGGCGTGTGTATAGTATCGTTTCCAGTTCATTTTTCAATTGTTTTTGCGACGTTAACTGCCGTTTTCATGATGTCCGTAAACAACCAGTTAACGATGAGTTAACAGACCGTTTTGGTTCATCTAGACGCAATATGAAATTTTAAAGACTTACAGAGTATTAAAGATTCTTACAAATTCGAAATTGCTTTTTTACTATGAGAATTTTATTAAAATTCAGCATTGTTCTTGTTACACTACTTTCAACTGTATCTCACGTGTTTATTCCTGGCTCTAGAAAACTGTAGTTTCTCATTTTGTAGAGATCAAACACTACTCGTTAATACTAGAAAGGAGAAAATTTTGATTTTTCTTTACTTCGCGAAAAATTTGAGCTGTTTTAAATGCGATAGTGCTACGGATGCCATTGAAAACTATTCGAATTTATTGATATCCATTCTGGAAAGAAAAAAAACTGGATGATCTTATAATTTATCGGACGAAAAGTAGCTTTTAAAAAAAGACTTCTTTCCTCGAAAATAAAGAAAGTTGATAAAATTTTGACTACAGATTCGGTAAGATAATCTTTAATAATACAGATGTTTAAGAAGTTTTAATACTCTATAAATCTTTGATGTTTCATATTGCAAACTGTCTTATAAATTCTCACACGGCTGTAGAACAGTCCATGCTGATATATCAACTAGTCATTGACTGATATGCTTACCCTATCTGAACATTTGCATATGAAATGATTGAGATTATTGTTATCACTAGTAACTTGATCTCGTGCATTCTAAAACAAAATAGAAAAATCATATTAAGTTTCTATGGTAATTCTCACTAATATATTGAACGAAACCATTAAAGTCTTTCTGAGTCAATCAGGTTATTTAACAATTAATTTTACATTTTTTTTTCCATGTCTAATTTCTGTCCATCAACACATATTCATCATCACTCTCTTATAAAAAATATATTCTTATGTTGTATAACAAACTATAAAAACCGTTTAAAATTTAAACAAAAATTACTTATTGGACGAAAAATTGCAAAAATAAAATTAATGATTAACAATCAAACAAAAGATGTGGACGATATTGACTTTAATCAAGAAAAAATTGATCATCATTTAAATAAAAATAATAAAAATATTTTATATAAAGCGATTAATAACAATCAATTATCCTTATTCACCGATGATCAACTATCAATAACAAAACAAGAACAATTCTATGATCACTCTCATCATCAATCGTGTCCACAATGTAAAATTCTTACATTATTTCAACTGAATCGTTCAGCAATTTATATCAATCCAGATATTCAAAGGCGACTTCATACTTTAAAAATGGCTGTAATAGAATCAGAATTTCATGGAAAAAATGAACAATGTCATTTACATAAAGATAAATTGAAATTGAAATCAATAACAAATGGTGAAGAAAAATTAATATTAAACTCTACTCCTATATCAGCAAAACGGTAATAACAAAAATATTCAAATATGACTAATACGTCATCTTATAAACAAAACAAAGTTATTATTTATTACTGATCATGCGATCATCGATTTTACTCACCTGTTGAACTCGTTTTTGATTTGATTTATCTTTGAACATATCTGAAAATGTTTGCCAAACATAATTTCTCATATCATGATGACTGGGTTTCGTGTGTTTTTCATTATTATTTGTATTATATTTTGATGATGATAATTGACGATTATGTTTTATACACATATGAAAGAGTTCATGAATAAACTAGAAACGAGATGAGACAATAAAGAAATGAATTTATCTGTATTATTAAACAAAGACGAAGAAATATTACTCGATGATTTGTTCCTGCTTGAGAATCATTATTCATAGTTGAATGTTTAGATTTATCATTTTGTTCCATTGTTCGTCTAAAATAGTTGAAGAAGACATATTTCATTTTGACCGATTATAACTAGAAAAAAACTGAATACTTCAAAAATTAGGGATCAAAATTTCAACTATTTTAATATCAAACTAAATTCGAACTTGGCTATCGAATGGTAAAAATATATTATGTTTATATTTTATGCTAGCCCAGATATTCAAATTTTAAAATGCAGAATATTTTCGAAAAAATTTAATTGTTTTATTTAATTTTTGTTTTGTTACTTTAGGAAAAGCTCTTTATTATATAACTTTTCAAAGTATGTAGCAATTATGTCAGCTGAGAAATTATTATTTAAAGTGTAGACTGCTGATGGTACAACAGGAAAGATTTTGACCTCGTTTTCAGTCTCAACTTCCTCAAACTTAATGGGCTAAACTTAGATATGGTTGGTGTTTGGTTTCTAATGAGAATTTTAGAAAAAATAAGTTTTTTCAACTTTGGATTTTAAATTTAAATTATAAAAATTTAACTTTTTTTGAAAATGAAAAATAACTTTTTCCAGCATGAAAAAGATCATATCGAGGTCTCATGTGTTTCATTTCCAGAAGCTGTTGACTCAAAATCAAGCATTGAAGCCTTGGAGACGAGACTTGGGGTTAATTCTTGATAAAATCTTACGCATCAGAATTTTGAAAAAATCGATGACTAAATTTTGGTACAAAGTATACTATTAATATCGATAAAATGAAAAACAACTTGAATGTTTTTTTCTAATTTTTTCTTTATACATCAGTTGAGCCCAACAAAAGCGTATAATTTCGAAATTGACAGTTCAAGTCCTCAAGCATACCTTCGTTCACATATAGTCTCTTCTATTATACAAATTTGTTCTCACTATTATGACTCGAATTATTCTAAAATATTGAGATTTCAGCTCTCTAGATTTTATCAAGATTTTCTCATGAGTTCTACTAGGATCGATTTTCTGTTTTATAATACTTCGAGTACTGATACCAACGGACTTACTTAAAACGTATCAATAAACAGTAGATTTGATTGTACTTACAACTGATCTAAACGTTTTTCCATAACGTCAATTGTTTTTCTTAATTGTGCTATGGTTCCTTGACAATTATCAAGTTGAATTTTGTAAGACTAAAGTAAAATATCATATATTATTAACAGCTTAATAATAAACGTGTTTTTTAGATATAATATGGAAACAGAGCAGTTTACCATAATCACACAAATTCTAGTCACATCTAGGTATTCATACAACTGATATCAGGACATCTAGAAAAAAATTGTATAATGCGAAGAATCGTTTCCAGCTGCGGAATGTCTCATTTTGTAGAGAAATATTTGCTCTATGTACTTAGGGCATACCAAAAGTAGTGGCAATGGTACTTTAATTCCTTATAGAAAACTTAAAGAAACTTTCTTTCTATATAGTTTGATAGAGAAAAGAATGCTCTATTTTTCTATGCTAGTTGATCAT